ATATTTATATTTATTTATATATTTATATATATAAATAAATATTTATATATATGTGTATGTATAGGTCAAAATTTCTGATTTTTGAAATGTGAAAGTTGTTTTGTTATTTTTGAAATAGGGTAAAGATAAAATAGGAAAACTGAATTTTTCCCTAAATTAATTCCCCTGAAGTTTTCGCATACCGAAACAAGCCCAATTATTATGAAACAGACTCAGCCCAAAAATGGCCCAATTCAAATCAGTTCGAAAAAGTTCGCTAGGGTTTCTGAGATTGAGATGGAGTATGTATATGAACCATGTCCACGCCATCGCAACGGAGATAGCATTTGCATTTTTCGACCGCTAAACCTTAAAAACCCTAAGCAGAAGCACAGTTGAAGCAAAAATGGCGACTGCGCCAAGGACACTCTCTACGAAGGAGGCCGACATACAGATGATGTTGGCAGCTGAAGTCCACCTCGGCACCAAAAACTGTGACTTCCAAATGGAACGTTACGTGTTCAAGCGCCGGAATGACGGTAAGTTATTTGAAACGATTTTTTCTTGGTTCAGTTATGAGATCGGACGTTTACTGGATGCTTGCTGTGATTATTTGTTTCGATTTAATTTGATGATATTTTGCTGCGTGTCATGTTACTGGAGATCAACGTTATTTTTTAAATTCTTATATCTTTCAGATATATATTGCCGAATTAGTTGAAATTAAAAGGTAAAACATGTAATTTAAGTGATTTATTGGTCTTTATAATGTCAATTTGTAATCAAATATATGAAACAAATTTCTTTTTGTTTGTATTTACTATCACTGAGTTCGTATTGATTTTGTTTGACATCTCTTCTGTTTATTAGTTTGTAAAAGTTAGTTTATCCAATGTCGTTAATATGTATTAGTTGAGCAGCCTAAAATTTACACTGGGAAATCATTTCTATTTTTTCCTCGGTTTTTCTACACAGTGGAAAAATATTTTTAGTGCTTAATGGGAAGGAATACATCCTTATGCATGGTTATACCCTGGAATATGCGTTTGAATATATGATATTTCTAATTTCAATTGCCCAGTTAATTTTTTTTTTTTTTAAATTTAGCTGCATTGAGTTTTTTGCACCAGGTATCCCTTTACAAATTAAGTTTCTTGCAATATGTTATTTTATTATCTGGAGACTGAATTATGACATTCAAAAATTAGGTTGCCTAGTTTTTAGTTTTTCTTTTTAGTAAATAAGAATGAAATTGTAACTAAATTGCTTATTGTTGTCAGTTTCAATTTCATATATTTTTTCGTGTTAGGATTTTGGGAGCCTTTTGCATTCATATTCCAGTGTCTTCTTCAGTTGTTGGTAATGAATTTTGTTTTCTGTTCATCTGTATAGGAATTTATATCATTAACCTTGGGAAAACCTGGGAAAAGCTTATGATGGCTGCAAGGGTTATTGTTGCTATTGAGAATCCTCAAGACATCATCGTCCAGTCTGCCAGACCATATGGTCAGAGAGCTGTCTTGAAGTTCGCACAGTACACTGGTGCTCATGCAATTGCTGGTCGTCATACTCCTGGAACATTCACCAACCAGCTTCAGACTTCATTCAGTGAGCCACGGCTTCTGATCCTTACTGACCCAAGAACTGATCATCAAGTGAGCACTTTTTAAGTATACATGGTGCATTGCTCTCTGAATTCTCAAATTATTGATTAGAATGTGGGATTGCTTTTGTTTCACCGAGATTCTGGTACTTAATGTTGATCTTTCTGCAGCCTATTAAAGAAGCCGCACTTTCTAGCATCCCTACCATTGCTTTCTGTGACACCGATTCCCCAATGAGGTATGTTGATATTGGCATCCCTGCCAACAACAAGGGGAAGCACAGCATCGGTTGTCTTTTCTGGCTCTTGGGAAGGATGGTTCTGCAAATGCGTGGTGTCATTGCTCCCGGTCACAAGTGGGATGTGATGGTAAATGTCTAGAAACTTTTGTTTCTCATACTTTGCATTGTGGAATTTGTGCTTTTCTGGTGGGGAACAAGGACTCTTTCGAGATCAGTATTTGCATCCTTGGAGGCACATTAAGATTGTTCTCTGTAATAAATAGTGTTCAAACTTTATGAATTATAATTTCGCTTTGCCAGTTCTGTATTGACTGGCTGCAATTGTTTAGAACTTCAGAAAAAAAATGGAGGAAACAGGTGTTGCATTTTTTGAGTTTTATTTTTTTTATTTTTGTGATGTTTTAAATTTTTAAATTTTTTTTGGCAGGTCGATCTGTTCTTTTACAGGGAGCCTGAGGAGGCTAAGGAACCAGAAGAAGAGGAAACACCTGCTCTTCCAGATTATGTCGATTATTCTGCACCTACAATTGGTGTTGATTGGTCTAGCAGCCAGATACCTGATGCTCAATGGGCTCCCGAGGTGGCTAGTACTTTGCCACCTGTTGCAAGTGGCAGGACTGGAGAAGCCGGTTCGTATCTTCTCCCGTACATGTGAAAGTGACCTGAAATTAAGTGTCTATTTCATGCCTTGTTACTCATTTTGACTTTAGTTTGATAGCACAACATCTTTTCCATCCCTTCTCATGATGAATTCTTACATTCTTTTTGTGAGAGAGCTTAGACATGCATATTATTGTTGTTTATCTCGTTTGTGGCAACAAAAGATACTTGGTCTTAGTTTGAATTTGTGTGCATCACATTCAGTTGCAGGGGTAGCTACTGATGGATGGGACTCAGCTGTTGCACCCCCGATGGCAGCTCCTGGAGTTGACGTAATTCCTCCTGTTGCTCCAACCGGATGGGACTAACTAAATGAAAAATTATTTAGTTCAACTACTTGATCCTCAAACAATTTCCATTTTATGTTGCCCTCCCCTTAATGAGCTTGAACGTTGTTAGACTTTTCTGTTATAAATGGTTTTGTTAAAATCCGAGTTTTTTTCCCTCTCTTTTTGTAGCCAGAAGAAACCCCTCGGGATTTAGAGTTACAGCTTGATTTGTACTTTTAATCTTTCCATGTGCTCCTTATAATTTAGCACTTTAGTTTATGTTTAGTAAGCATTTATAAACAAGGTAGAAACAAATGGTATACAAGTAGGTAGTACTTGTGGATTCACAAATATGAATAAAAGCAAGTATCAAAAACATGTTTATAAATATTTGCCAAATATGCTCATAGAATTATGAGAAATGGTCCTATATCTTGATTTCCACGCTATTAAGGTGTGTAGTTTGAGTGATTCGAGGTTTGAAGTGATGTGATTTTAGTGAATGGTCGATGGCCCCTTCGGGGAATGTACACAATGGCTCAAAGGGCTGCTTGGTTTTGCCCTTGTCCCCAAATAATTTGCAATCTTCTCTAATTCCTGTAAGCCTGTGTAACTTATACTCAGCGTAACATTCCATGTTATGTTGAATTAAAAGTATGCTGCGAATCGATTGGGTTGCTACGTGTTCGAAATGCCAAGGATTCATGCAAATTGCAATTAATAGAAACAAGTCTCAAATCCTCAATTTTGAGCCTTTGTAAATTAATTCAAGTGTCTGACGCATGAGAGATCTAAAATCATCGCTTCAAAAATAAATATTAAAAAGCTTGCCGTATCTTTGGGCTCTGGGCAGCAAAACACCAAACATATGATGCCCAAATAATTTGTTAATGTAAATTTCGATTTAGCCTAATAATGCTCAACAAGTCAGTCTCAAAATCACGTGTCCTTTAATCTCAGTCCTTCCGAAGTTCACGCTTACCCATGAGGTTTCACTTCTCAGAATGTTAGGTTAAGGCCAACCTCATATAGAGTTAAGCTCAAAGTTGCTTTTAAGTTTGAAGAATTCCAATTTGTGGCTGTCGATGTCTGAAGAAGATAATCAGTGCCCAGACTACCACCAGTTTTCCAATCCATCAAGTTAAACACTTGCTTGCACGCTTAAATTGAATGAGGAGGGATTTGTATAGTGGGACTATAAAATAGAATTTCAAATATGAAATTAGGACATTTCTTATGGAATGATCGTATTTGTAAATCTGTCGACACTTTTTCCTTTTTCCCTCTTTTTTCTTCTCTTAGATTGTGTTTGAAAATTACGTGGAAAATGGAATTGGTTTTTCATTTTCTAACTTTTTAGGTGTTTGATACGATTAATTTTCTTGGCAAAACTCTTTCGCACCTCCCTCCACACGTGCACATTTTCAAGGCTTTTGTGGTTTATCACCAACAGTAAAAAAAAATTTACTTTAATGAACAATTTCCATAAAAAATAAAGTTAAACGAATACCAAACGATCCAAAATTTAAATATTTATCATGTGACAAATTATTCAAATCAAACATAATTAATTGCAGTTCTCAATAAAACAATTTCAAAACAATTCAATTATCTGAAATTCACTTTCTTTCTACTCATTTTTTGCTACTTGCTAGCTCTCCGATTACTTGCTAGCTTTGGTTTTGAATACTCTCCGGTCACCTCCTGCGCCAATTGATTTCTCCGATGAGATCCAACCCCGACGTTGTCCTCCGGAGAGAAGTGAACTGGTGATGCAGCAGATTACGCCGGCTGAATTTTCGACTCAAATTCGCTGCTCTTGATGCAGTGTGGTGCTGAACACCGTATAACGAGTTCGTAGAGAGATTTTTTTGTTTTTCAGTGTAGCATGCTTGGCTAATGTGTTCATAAGTAACTGTACTTTAAGCTTTATAAGAAATAATTCTTTTAGGTGTCAAAATTGGAAATAAGTTACTTTTTCATACATCAAAGTAAGAATACATTAGCCAAAACTATTCTATATTGGTGTTTTAGGAGCTCTTGTTCGGCTCGCAGGTCTGATGTAGTTTTTCCGTTGACGATGGGAACAGGTTTGGCTCATCAAGGATAAGTTCATAAATCCCCAGCTTTCATAGCAATGTTGACCAATTTTGGCAAGACTTTGTTCTGAAGCGAAAGCACCATAACAAGCTCCCTCCTATCTTCATTCTAACTAACCTATGCTTGCTAGCTAGGCTCATTAGACCCCTAATTGTAGTCTCTTGCGTCTCTGCTTGCAAAATAAAGGCAGTTTCTGGCATGGATTTGGTATTTATATTCCTGGTTGGATAATATAGAGGAAATTACAAGAAATTGTCACTTTCACATTGCCATTTTCAAAAATGTCCAAAATTTGTTCAATGTCCATTTTACAAAAAATTAGACCAAAATGCCCTTTTTATCAATTTCTAATTCCACGGTATCAATAACTTTTTCCGTCTTTTTCAACTATCAATATATTATTCCAAAATGCATTTTTCCAAAATAATGTGCCTCAAACACACTCTTAATGTATTATTTTTAGTTGGGTTCTTTTCTGGTAAGTTGGGGTTATGAGTTAATTGAACTCCCTGTTTGCAGCTGCAGCCAATCTGGAAAAACAATTTAGGCGTGTTCGGTAGAGATTAAAATTGGATTAAAATTGAAAAATTAGCCGTTATTGTTGACTTTTATTAGACGAGTGAGACCAAATAACGACCATATTTTCAATTTTAATTGAATTTTAAATTGTACCGAACACGCCCTTACCCATAAAATAATGAGAAATTATTGAAAATACCCA